TTAAAAGTACTAACGGAAAAGTCTCCCTGCTTGATTTAATCTGTTATTCATTCCTGTCTGTGTACATATAGGAATGAATAAAACTCCCAAAATTTAACAAAATAGCTTATTTTAAAATGTTTCCACTAAGGAAAAAATCTTTTTTCTTTTAATTTCTAGTTTGGTTGTTTTCACTTAAAGAAACTCATTCACCTACAGCATGCTATAACTTGCACATTTTAGAAATAAGAACCTGAAACAATTGGGTATGGATTTTTTGTTTTGTTTTTTAAATGCATGAATGTGTGTGGGTGGGAGAGCATTTAATGAACCAAGTGGTAATTAAATGGATTTTGAACTGTGCTGCTGTTGTCTGTCCATCTGTAAATGGGCATTTCTGTTTAGAAATAATAGCTTGGAACACTTTACCAACAGCTCGTTGACTTGCAGTGCTGCAGACTTAGTCTGATCTTAGTTTAAGAGGAGAAAGTAGGACTGTGGTTGCCACCTTGGCCTGTTCTGTCTCAGTTTTGGGTTTGTTTTATTCTTTTTCCTCCATATGGTGTATCCCCACAAGGTGGATTGTGCATTTTCCCCACGGACAGAGCAGCGGCACATAATTATGCCGCTGCCAGTTGCTCTGGGCATGCCCCTGCATGTGCACTCTGGCACATGGCAAATTGCCCCAGGTGGGGTAGGAGAGGCTGTGGCCAGCACCCTTACCTGGGTGCCTGTGGGCTGTCTGGGGCTGTAGTGGTGGCAACCCAGGCATGCAGAGCCTGGTTGGCAGCTGAAGCATGACTGGTCAGTTGAGCTCTGGTTTCACGTGTGCTGCCCTGCTTTTATTTTAATTTTATTTTATTTATTTGTTTATTTTTCTTTGCATGGCTTTTTTGATGCTGTAATCTCCTGTCAAAAACCCCCAACAAAAACACCCCCACCCCCAAAAAACTGCTGCACTGCTAATTAGGAGCACAGCAAATGCTTACACATGTGGTGCGTGCAGTGTGTGGCACCATAGATGGATTTTCAGCACCACAAACCAAATGTGTGCACTCACGGGGATGTGCCCCTGTTCTCTTATTCATGTTTTGTAGATCAACAGAAACCAGAAACCAACCTGGATCTGATGCAACATGCACGCAATGACATAACTGGCTCAGCTGCGTGTCCATGTCTTTTAGCAGCCCATCTCCCCTGGCCCCTTGTCAGAGGTAAATGAAGGCGATCTGTGCCACTTCCCCATGTGCTGTTGCTTTGCTCCAGCCTGGGGCACAGAGGACATAGTTGTTGCCAGTTAATGCACTGCCCTGTTCCCGGAGGCCCTCGAGGGCTCAGTCAATCATCCCCCTAGTCCAAAGTGATTCTGAATTAAAGCCACTCCCTATACCCTGCAGCCAGTGCCATCCTGCCTCTTGGAGCACACCTTGCAGCCACTCCCCATTCCTCACCTGTTTGTTATTATGCTGAGATGGTTGCGGGGGGGGGGGGGGGAGCAAAATCATTCCCTGGGGAGGAACTGCATCCTCCCTTTGCCCCTGGCAGCTCCAGGAGTCCCTGGGGGAAGGAAGCTGGTATGTTCTCCCACCTCACATGAAACACCTTTCTAGTTTCAGCCCTGCTCCAAACTGGTGTTGGCATTGCCTCGTCTTTAGCAGAGGGGTGGCTTCCTCTAAAGAGATGGGTCCTAGAGGCTGTCACTGAGGATGGTACAGGGTTAACTTAGACCTTAGCCCAGTTCCCTTTCTTGCTCAGCTGTGCACGCTTCTCTTGCCTTTTACCAGCACTTTGAACTTGCGCTAGGGGCTGGCGCCTGGGTTTCACATTAATCCGCTTATTATGTGACCTTAGAAACCATTTAACCTTTTCTGAAGATAATCCTAAATCGCAGGGGTGTTGAGCAGATTAACGAAGTTTTGCACAGCACTTGGTATCTTCAAAGCGCAGAAGTTATTTATTCATATGGCATACAGCAACTGAATGACAACAAGCTATAAGTATCCTATAAACAACCTGTAGACAACAGTACTGAGGGATAAGGCTAGAGTGACAGTTTTAGATCCGATATCCATTGCAAGGCATCATCAGTAGCCTGGTGCAGGACTTCAGTGCAAGTATTAAAATAAGTAGGATGTTTCTCCACAACATGTGCAATAGTTTGGAGTCCTCCACACTCTCACTTGAGGTCTTTATCAACATTTCATTTATGTAGTAGGTAGTTGCATCTACCTTGTCCGGTACAAACACTGTTCAATACGGCTGTGCGAAATTTCACTGCCTGTTTCATTTCGACATTGTTTTGACCAATTTCGAGATCGAAATGGCAAAATCAAAACAACAAAGGCCCTTGAAATAGCCTTGAAATAAAACAAGGCTGCTTGAAACTTTTCGACCATAGGCTGGGGATAGGAAGTCAGTGGAGCTGGGCTGCTTCCCTGTCTCCCGTGCTACATCATGCTGGGGGCGGGAGGTAGCCTAGCTGGGCTGCCTCCCTGCCCCCAGCGAACCTCGAAACAGCCTTTCTGTTTCAATGGAACAGAAGAGCTGTTTTGACTCTAAATGAAATTCAAAATGAAACTCTGTTTCGTCGAAACTCAAGGCAAAACAGAACGGTGCCATTTCGCACAGCCCTACTGCTCAGTTTTGGGCAGCTCCCCTTGGTAAAGCAAAGCCAGGAGGTTTAGATGTGGGGTCCGTGATAAGAAATCTGGCAATGATGTCAATTGTGCTCCATTGCTGGATCTATTTTTCTTTGGTGTCAAAATGTTTGTCATTCAGCTTTTTTCCCACGTTCCAAAATGGCCTTCATAACTTAAGCTTTAGCCGGGGGTGGGGAGGGTAGTAAGCTCCTCAAACTGGTTGTGAATTGGCTGTACGCAGTTCCTTGACTCTTAAAGCAGCCTATTTACATCAAAGTGTGGAGCACTAGACCGCATTGAAAACCGGTGCTCAGCCGGAAACAAATCTAGCTCAGTGTTATGCTGGAATTTGTTTAGAGAGGCTGTTAAGAGTCTTCACATGCCCCAATTTTGCTTTCTAAAATGGCAAAAAAGAACCACAAAAGGAGTGAACTATAAAACACTGGGATAGTAGAGCTCCAACCTTCAAGGTAAATTGTGGTGTGAACCCTGGTGATCTTCTACAGAGCTCAAGTGAGTTCAGCTGGGCAGGAAGGTCTGGCTACCCGGTCAGATGGCATGATCAAACCTTGGTGAAGGAAGACTGGCTTGTGTAAGACGCATGCTTCTGGCTCTGGGTATCTTATTTATGCTTTCAGCTCTGGCACAGACTTTTTGTGTGACCTTGAATAAATCACTGATAGCTCCTTATTTGTGTTGTTTTTTTAAGCCTATTGATTGATTGATTTCCTTTTGGAAGCCTTGGATATCTTTAAGCTTAATTCTAGTGACTACTTTGCACTTGCTACTGGACTCAGGTTGGGCATGCCAAGCTATTTATTTCAGTAGTAAATCCTATTTTCTTACCTTCTGTAGGTAAGCTAACGTATTTTTTTACCTTGGTATTTCAGATAAACTTTTTGTATGTCACCAAGAGAGAAATCAAACAGCTCAGAAAATAAATGGCCAGAGACAAACATTCCACTGATCCAATTAGTTTCACATTCACCGGTCAATAACTTGCCAAGATGGAACTTGACACCTAGTCAATAGTGATTTTACTAAAAAGCCTAATGAAGAAGCAACAGAGTTACAGGAAAAGGTGAAGTTGAGCATTAGGATGAGGGTGCCAATACTTTCCCATTTTCCTATTGGCTTGCCGGCAACTTACTTTGAGCAAGTATGATATTAACTCTACCATAGGTAGAAGTCTGCATAAACCAAGTTCGTTGTATAATGCTGAGTGAACGTATCTCACAATGATGATCTCTTAAATACAGTCATCAATTACCGTAAATACTCAAGTACTGACTGCACCAGTAGCTCTGTGACTTTTCTGCATGCAATCTGTGTCTGCTTCCTAATTCTGGCCTCGAGTACTGCTGACCAGGAGCACTACCAATGTTATGAGTCAATCTCTTTGGCAAGAAGCAGCTTATTTTACATACTGACTCTGAGTGCTTTCATAGATGTTAGGGTCGGAAGGGACCTCAATAGATCATTGAGTCCGACCCCCTGCATAGGCAGGAAAGAGGGCTGGGTCTAGATGACCCCAGCTAGATGCCTATCTAACCTCCTCTTGAAGACACCCAGGGTAGGGGAGAGCACCACCTCCCTTGGGAACCCATTCCAGACCTTGGCCACTCTAACTGTGAAGAAGTTCTTCCTAATGTCCAGTCTAAATCTGCTCTCTGCTAGCTTGTGGCCATTATTTCTTGTAACCCCCGAGGGCGCCTTGGTAAATAAAAAGAACTTGCTTTAGAACCCTTCAGTTCTCTCCAGTTTCCATCCAGCCCCCACAGCCAGGATATTGGATGGGTGGGAAGAACTTAACATGGCCTTATTATAGCAATGCTAACCCAGGGTGCCGTGACATCCTGGGGTGCCTTGACATCCTTTCAAGGGTGCCCAAAGTGTGCCATGCAATGTTAGCGCTGTTAGGTGTGCAGACAAGGTTCACAAGATAAACTCAGATTTCAAAAAGAAATCCACAGTATTCAAAACGTTCTGGCCTGGTATGGCACTTCTGAGTTCTTGGTAACAGAAGAACGGCTCTATCTTTCAGTCAAAAATTGACAAATAACAAATCTTTTTCATGGCCAAATGATTTCCTGATGAAACTCCCCAGGGGATTTGGGCACCAAATTAAGATGTATTATTTAACAAACTAATCCTAATGTGTTATTGTAAAGATTAATTATTCTAGATCATATAAACATACCAGAAGACAATAAGAAATTAAGACGTGCAGTGCGCTTTTCTTATGTCTCGTATATACAGAGAGAGGAGCTGACTCAGTGCCTTGATGGGAAGCAAGTCTTTCTGGAGGGCATAGTTACCCGATTCTTGATGGAGTTTTGAGTAGTAACTAATTTATCCTCCCAATGTAGAGTCCCTACTTCGAAGCCTGGCCTCTCCACAATCCTGGAATGGTCTCAAAGACTCGACAATAACCGGTGTGGTTAAGGCAAGCAAATGGTGGGTTCCAAAGTTTCGTTTTCTTCTGCTCTGTCAGAAGGAGTAGGAAGGTTAGATAGCAATGGAGTGCAATATAGAGGATTTGTCATGCCTGGAGCAGGGAGTTGGAGTGAGTGCCTACCAAAGAAGAAAAGGAATGGATTTCGAATTGTAACAAAGATGGTAGCAAGATGCAGCTCTCTTACCTTTTGGCCTCCACTTGATTAGAAGGTTTACTCAACAATGTTTAGATATAGCAGGAGATAAGAGGCAGCAAATGGTATCAAATAGAAAAGGAGGGATCAATGTTTAAATATGAAGCCTGGCAGGATGGAAAGCACTCTGGAGCCTTTGGAGTGTGTGGGAGGGCAGATGGAGGTAGGGACAGGCCAGAGAAATGTGGAGGAGGGAGAACTTTTACCCATATATTTACAAAGTATTTTAGCTATGTGTAGCTCCTTTTAAGATGGATAGTCCTTGACAATAACCTTTGAAAACAGACTCACAAGTGTTTAAATGAAGTCTCTAGAAGGCATGTGGACAAGCATGGCATGTGCTGGGAGTCTAGTTTGTGAGGTCTTGGTTTAAGATATGGCAAAGAGAGCATTTATTTATTTATTTATTTATTGCCAGCATTATTTATACTAATGAAAGAATTGGCACCTATTCCAAAGACGTGTAGCTTTTTTACTTGACTTTAAACTAGTAATGGGTACTACCATGTTTACTAAAACATTAGGATATTGAACCGAGCTGTGTTAATTGAAGTATTGAACTGAGATATATTATATCCATCAGTTCTGATCCTGCTACAGATAACTATTAGGGCTGCGCAAAGCTTCTGTCCCCGATTCAACTTGGCAGAGATTCAGCTCGAATCAGTGGCCAAATCTCCGAATCCGAATTGAATCGGAGGACCCTTTAATCTCTCCAAATTGAATCGGAGCCCCCTGCCCCCCCCCCCCCAATTTTGACGGCCCCCCGCCCCCCCCCCCCCAATTGATTCGGGCATAGACACAGCTTTAAATGTTTTTTCTACATGCCTCTAGGTAGCAGGCAACTTATGAACACTGTGATGCTGGGGTGCATGGAGTGTCCCACAGAAGCACAGGTGGCCCCCAGCGTGCTTGGCAGCAGACCTGGAAGTGGACCAGAAGCACTTGCAGTCCACTTCCAGGCTTGCTGCCAAGCATGTGGAGGGGCCCCCTGCACTCCTGCAGGACACTCCCACGTGCCCCAGCATCACAGCATTCACAAACCACGCTGGTAACTCACAATACATAGAAAAAACTTTTAAAGCTGTGTCTATGTCCGAATCACTGATTCTCCAAATCGGCATCGAATCTTCAGATTTGGATTTGGCTGAATCGAATCGGGACAGCGATCCAAATCAACAAATTGAATCACTGTCCCTGATTCGGGCCGAATCCAAATCGAATAGGGCCTGCTTCACACACCCCTAAAAACTAGTGTATCACTTTGCCTACAGTACTGCAATTCAAGAATAAGTCAAATCTGTTGCATTCAGTAGCACAATAGGGATGCTCTTGTTCTGTCCCAAAAATCCTAGAACATCCATCCAGAGCCAAGATGTGAAATTGTCCTCTTCACCCTTCTTTTTAGTGACTTACAACAGCAAGACTGAAGACTGATCCTAGGAGGTGGCAGAGGGCTGTTCAGTTCACATTGGACCTATGCGCTGCCAGCACTGCAGGTGAGAGCGCTCTTTATCAGTCAGACACCCCTAGGTCAGTCTATCAGCTCCATAAGAAATTAAAGATGAAGCAAATGTTAAAGCTCTTGTATGTAGTTAAGATGCATTTTCCTGAAGGATCATTCATCTTTTCAGTTCTTTCTGGTTTATGCTATTGTTCTTGGATTACCATCAGCCTGTATAAATGAGACTTGTTTAGTTGTTCTTAGCTTTTGAAAGTGTTTTAAGTTTCTCATGGGATTGGGAATTAGAAATTGAAAACTAGACACTTTGAAGCTTGAAGTTGATAGTCCATTCTGGGAGGGCAATGAATGATGGTCGTCTGATGGTTCTTCATTTGACCCCTATGAAACAAATTCGGTGATTCAGTCCAGTTTACTGTGAACAGGTTTGAACCTTATTGCCTGCCTCCAGTGGCAGAATTAGCCCCTCTTATTGATAAGCTTGGTTGAGGCTGTATAGATTAAATGGACTACGCACGTGGAATTCTCTTGTTAACCAGCAGAAAGTGCTCTCGGAGGTGCGTTGCTAGGCTTCTGTTTGAAAAACTTGCACTGCTTTCCATAATGCATTGCTTTGCTTTCCCTGATGCATCAATATTGTACATATAAGACTTCAGTTTGGATTTTCAGCCTTTCACTGGCATTAAAAAATATTCATGTGCACCATTTTTAAAATGTAATAAAATTGTTTTGAAAAGAAATATTAAAATTCCAACATACTTCCTAATGAAAAGCAATTTAGTCTCTCTTGTGGTCCTTGTAGTTAATCATGTTTTATGAGGATGATGGTAATAACTCTACATGTATTTATTAAAACTTACGACATGCAAGTTTATAACCCTGAATCTGAAGATGTTTTTGCCTGTTGGGAAAAACATTAAGTGATGGTCTACTACTTATTATTAATTTGTAATTATAGTACCATCATGATACTCTTATGCCTGAACACTGTCCATGCCTGAGTAACTTAATAGCTTGAATCTGCACTCAAATCACGCCTCTAATTTTCTTGTTCTTTTTTTAGGTGTAGCTGAAGAGGAATTAAAGAGCTTCTGGTCTCTCAAGCCACTCCTTCCTTATGGCTCCAATGTTAAATTCTTGGGCAAAGTTCTTTATTTCAGCCAGAAACTCAGACCTCTTATACCTTAACATCATGTTCTGTACTCATTCAGTACACAGAACTTTTATTAGTGTTTCATGAGAGCTTTGTCTATGGAATTAATCCTGGGGAAACAATTGGTGCTTGTGCTATGATTCAGAGAACATCAGCATGTTTCAGAAAGAATTCCGCCCTTTGAAATGCGAGTCCAACTGAATTGCAAGATCATGATGCAGAATACCATTAGAGAAGGATAGTCTTATTCAAATCAAAGGATGCATGTTTTTTTCTCTTCTCTAGTTGCCTGTTAGGGGTGTGCAAAGTGGGCCCTATTTGATTTTGGATTCGGCTTGAATCAAGGACAGTGATTTGATTAGTTGATTCAGATTACTGTCCCTGATTTGATTCATCTTAATCCAAATCTGAAGGTTCGATGCTGATTTGGAGAATCAGTGATTCGAACACAGACACAGCTTTAAACATTTTTTCTACGTACCTTGAGGTAGCAGGCACGGCTCGTGATTGCTTCAATGCTGGGACACGTTGAGGGTCCCACAGGAGTGCGGGGGGGCCCTCCATTTGCTCAGCAGTGAACCTGGAAGTGAACTGGAAGTACTTCCAGGTCTGCTGGGGAGTGCACTGGACCTCCCCTTCTTCCTCCCCCAGTGCCTTCCCGGCTCAGCGATCAGCTGCAGGGGGACCCCAGGTGCCCCCCCAGACCCAGGAGGCACCAGTCACTGAGCCAGGGGCATGCAGGGGAGGCCCCCCAGCACACTCCCCAGGGGACCAGAAGTGCTTCTGGTCCACTTCTGGGGCTGCTGCTGAGCATGCTGGGGAGCTCCCTGTCTGGGATATTCCATGTGTCCCAGCATCGCAGCGATCACAAGCATGTTCTGATTCGAGGGTTCCAATTCAATTCGCCAAGTTTTAAAGGGTCCTCTGATTTGATTCAGATTCGGAGATTTGGCCACCGAATCAGGCTGAATCCCTGCCAAATCAGATCAGGGACCGAAGCTTCACACAGCCCTAGTGCCTGTAAACTATGTTTGCATTTTCAGAAATATTTATTTGCATGTAAAAGGGGACTTGTATATGTAAAGAGTGAAATGCATAAGTAAACTTGTTTTTAATGGTTTTGACTGTTAAACAACAGTACCACCAAGCTACCACAACTGATATGACTAGGACACTATAATTCCAAATAAAATTGGGTAAAGGAAGGGGTGTTCATTGCAAGTGTAGTCCAGTATCTAGGGGGAAAAGTAAAAAAATAAATAAATAAATAAAAAATCCATAAGCAGTATTGTAAGGTGTAACTTCATTCTTAATATTTTTTTCAATTAAACCATACTAAATCTATGGACTGTTATGTGGTATTAAAGTTCGAACTTCTGTTATGAGCAGTCACGCACAAGGGTTAATGTGTTTCTTGCTTACACAGCTCTGACTTGCTACTAAAGGACTGGTGAGTAGGGGCACGACTAGGCGCCAGAACACCTGGGCTTATCTCTGCTCAAGGCACCGGGAGCAGTGTATCCTGGGATGCTGGAGGAATGAAAATTACTTGTTTTCTCTCTGGGACAGACTGAAGTTACCCTAGCACAGCCCAGAGTTAACTCTTTCCTGAAATGGCATAACTTTAAGATACTCGGAGGGCACTTAGCATGACTTAACAAGCTTTATTGTGCACGTTTGCATTTTAAGTGCCTTTAGTATGGTATAATGTGCAACTTCTTACCAACAGAGTGAATTGCTTTCTTCCTTATATGTTTTTTCCCATTTGTATTGTTGTGAAAGTGTACCTGTAGGAACAGTAGACATCCATAAATGTCTCTTAGCATCTACTTGATAAGTAGTTGGGAACATCCCACACTAAACAGGGGCAATGCTTGCTATCCAGATATTTGATGCATTTGCCACATATATTTATCTGCATACAAAAAATATGAATTATTTAAAATGAAGAACACAGAGACCTATATTTAAATCATTAAAATGCATCATCTGCACCAAAACTTTGTAAGATGTTCTTTGCTGAAAAAGACCATGAGGGATTCATGAGAAATGCCATACTTTGTGTTTTGATTTTCTCCGAGTTTCGGAGTCTTTTAGTTCAAAGGGAAATGGATTTTCACAAGTAGCAATTCAATGTAGAGAGAAGCATCACCTATTGTGAAAAGTATGACATTTACTTTGTACTAAGAGATTATTCACTGAAGGAAAAAAAGCCCGCTTTTGGTTATGCTTGGGCTTTGTGTCTACTTTTTATTTCAAGTATATTTGCATTAAACTGGTCATAAGTGGAAGGGGAGATCTCAAATTTCCTATTTGGGATTGCAGTCTTCAGGATATTGGTAGCAAGGAAAGTGCTGAGTAATCATAGGCGTTTCTGAATGCTTCCTCTCACGCTTCAATAGTCCAATAGGATTAGCTGTTGGAATAATGCCACCTTGCCCAGCTTCCCCCATCCTTTGAGCAGCTTATACCAGCCATGCACTATTCACACATCTGCCAATTTATGGATCAACTAGCTGTGTTCAAGAGGAAAAATTCCAGTTCACCACGGTGAAGCCCAACATTATCACTGTGTTCAGATGACTTCTGTTATCATAATTTTACTAGGCATATTTATTGAAATTGAGCATGGCTTTGAACATTACAAAGAAGCAATGCCCTGTTAGGGCAAACAGTGAAGGAGATGAGAAATTCTTATCCACTGTTGTATTCCTTCCTACGTCTTCACGAATCTAGTAGCACCATAAGATCAATAAGGGTTCTTTATCATTCTGTTTGAGGTGTTTCTCAGGATTCGGATAATCGTTCTGTGTAACCTACTGGGGTCATTTTAGGATTCACATCACTGCTGTAGCTTGCTGGAAATACAGCACAATTTATCGCATAAGTTCCTATCTCTATACAATACTGGCATGAATTAAACGCACATTATGACACATTAATGATATATGCTTAATTGCCTCAATTACAACTGGATGGTCTACAAGTAGAAGAAAAATCATGATTCCAGCCTATTGTGAATTCACAGTGGGAGAAGAAGTGCATGTAAAACCAGCATTTCAAAATGTACTTTAAAAAACTCCAATAACATAAGCAATGTATTGATGAGGGCAGGTTTTAGAGAAGTGTGATACTTTATGTATGGAATTATACCTTTCTAAAATCATGTTCTTGCTTTCCTGGCCTCAGCTCAGAAAGGGACTGTTCGTAAACTCGAACATTTTTGTTGGATCAAGGTTTTAATCACGCAGAGAATTTTTTGGCCTGGCTTCCGAACTTCAGCTTTGTTTTCATAAGGTTTATAATAAGGATTAACAGGAAATCTGCTCAGTAAAGAACATGAAGTCATATCTGTTGACCCTTATGATATTTAATCCAGCGTGTGGTGAACTCATTACAGGAAGAATCAAAGGAGTTGAAGGTAAGGGTTTAAGATGGCTAATTGCTTTTAGTTGTCTCCTACAACATTTTCGGAAAGATGGGGATGAATTAAATGTGGGTAAAAGAAAGGATTGATCAAAGGACCTTTCATCGGTTGGGTCATTAGTTCAAGCCTAGCATTGGTTGGTGGAGACTAAAAGATATTACCATCTCACTGGCTGTACTTGTTAGCTTTCTGATGTACAAGTCTCCCACCAATCATCATACAAACCCTGTTGGCAGTCTCAGCAGAGACCGAGTCAGCCGTCATAATGCAACTCTCCTCGCTCCGTGAGAGGTCACTCTTCCTGAATAAAGATTGAATTACATTGTTGGGACAGAAGTGAAAGTTGTCACTGCCAGGTTGCACATGTTCCACATAAAAGTACGTCTCCGTAGAACTGTTGATTCAGCGCTTCTCACGAGTACTGTATTTAATTTACAAAAGAAAAAAAAGGTGAAGGGGGGGGGATATTGCAAATGGTTTAATTTATTTTTCATTATTAACACCTGACTTGACTTAACGAAAAGGTTGAAGCCATATTAGCTGAGAGGCATTACTGGCATGGTGATGTTATATCATCTGCTTTTCATTTTTTCTGGCAAAAGCAAGTTTCATAAATGTTGTTTTTCTTCAAAGCTGTCTTAGTTTGGGCTTAACTCTTCTGACAAAGTCACTTCTGCTAGGGTAGAAGTAATCGGAGACTTTAAAAGCATCTTGGAAAGATTGTGACACTCGCTAATGAAATCAGGCTCACAAAACTATGTATGTATTCTTTGTTTTTAGCTTTAGTTTTGGAAGTTTAAAAAAACAAAGTAGAGGTTAACTCTGGTCACACGTCCAATTATAAGCTTTTCCCCAGGTAGAGAACTGTCAATTTATAGACTCAAAATTAACTACGTATAGATTATTTGTTTCAGATGTCTATATAAATCTGTGTGCATTGTCTATCTCTTCATAGACTCGCATAGTGGTTATTTGGAATGAATATTATGTGCTATGTTTCAAAACCATGTGGTCAGTTTCTGTACTGCACCACTGAGTGCCTCACCTTCACACTTTATTGATTTTTGTATTTGATCTCGTATTCAAAGCCTTTCGGTGGCTTTAATCAACTTTTTATTTCCTACCACCCTGCCAGAAATCTTTTTTTTCCCATCGGTTCAGATGTGAAATGTCCACATTCCCCTTTCCCCCTTCCCCCAAATAATTCTAGTAATCTAAGAATAAGGACCAAAGTGAGTCAGGTGTAGACCACTGACAGCTTTTCTATACACAAAAAACATTAATTATAAAATCCATCAGTCCTGAAAACTAGCAACTGTAGCTTTATCTCCAAAGTGAGCAATCCCAGGTTCTGTCTGAGTAAGGATTTGCTTCTAGTCCTAGGAAGTCCTGAGATTGTATGTCTCAGTTTAAAGTATAAAATGAGCAGTTCAGATTGATGAATGGTTCTTTCTGAACCCAATCGAGCTGGACTCATGATAATTGAGGTATTTGGCTTTAGAGTAATAATAAAACAAAAACAACTTCAGTGAAACTACTCTATTCATTAAAATAGTTTCACATAAAGCTGTTTAGCATACGATGGGGTATTATCAAGAATTTATTAGCACTTGTTTCAGAGGATCAAAATTACTTCCCAGAAAGAGCCTTGAGTGAACTGTGGTCATTCTAATTGAGCGTCAGTGCAACCTTTAAACGACACCATTTGTGTATTCCCACACAGGGTGTAGAGCGATTAGACCATTGTTTGAATACTGGCATCCTTCAAACCATATGTTCCCTTGCCAACTCCTGGAAAAATGTGTTCTTTAAAAATCAAAGACATCAAATGACTTTCACAAAGTAAGGCTGGATAGCTTTATTGTGTGCTTTGCAAAAT